ATGGGCAGGGGTTTTTAAATAAAACACCCTTTGCAGAGCGGGGCTTGGGGCAGCCTGGGAGTGCTGCTGGATGGAGACATCACCGGCTCAGTGACTTCATCCCCGTGCTGCTCTCCCAGCTCTGGTCTGAGAGGAGCATCTCAGCTGCTCTGCCCATCGCTCACCAGCTCCCAGGCTATTTTAAACCTTCATCTGAGAAGGCTTGAAAAGGCCTGGCTCGGGTTTCCTCACCCTTTCCCTAAGCACGGGTGGCACCAAAGCCTTCCTGCCCGGCTCCAAAACAAACACGGCCAGGCCAGAATGCTCTGGGCCAGCTTGGGCCTCACCAACACCTCTGTCTGGGGGAAAAAATGGAAAATGGGATGAAAAAATGGAAAATGGGATGAAAAAAAATTGTAAAATGAGATTTAAAAAATGTAAAATGGGATGAAAAAACTGAAAAATGGGATAAAAAATGTAAAATGGGATGAAAAATTGTAAAATGGGATGAAAAAATGTAAAATGGGATGAAAAGACACTTTGCACAGCACAGCACTTGCCTTTGGACTGTGGCTGGGAGCCCTGGCTGTCCGTAACACTGCCCAGGGTTTGGGACACCCCTAAAGGATGGATAAAGGCTGGCTAAACCCTCACAAGGGGGTCGGGAGCTGGTGCTGCAGCTCTTGCACCTGGATTTGGGCAGGGCAGTGCCCAGGAGCGTCAAAGAGGAGAATTTCTTTAGTTGTGAGAACAAAGACGCACAAAAGCAGGGCACACCATGATTTGGAGTGCAGGTCAGATGCCCTGATGAGGAGGGTGATGGCACCACCTCTGTGGCCAGCAGGGCCCTGCAGCCCCGGGCGTGGCAGGGCTGGGGCGCTGGGCCAGGTGAGTGTGGGTGCCCCACCTGCACAGGTGCCCCTGGGCTGGGACAGCAGGGACAGGGCCAAGGGCTCTGCTGGCTCTGGGGATGCTCAGACAGAGCCTTGGGACCCTCAGACAGGGCCTGGTGGCCACTGGTGCCACAAGCCAAACACCCCAAAGCTGCAAAGAAGGAGCTGCCTCCACCTCCTTGTAGATTTTCCCTCTCCTTCAGAGCTATTTATCCATCCTCAGACCAAAATCCAGCCTAAAAGGATGGGAAGCCCACTCTGGCAGTGCTGTTTATTTGGGAAGATGCTGCAGAGGGGCTTTTTAGCCACGAAAAGAGATCTCAGCTCAGTTCTTGGTTTGAAACAGAGACAACCTTAAATTCTCCCACAAAACACCAAGGCACTGATAACTCCAGAGCAGCTGGGCTGGCTAAAGCTCCTTTTCACCACAAAATGTATCTAACTGCTCCCAAATTTCTGCACCTTGTAGGATTCCAGCATGTGGCTCGTGCTTTGCAGGAGCACCATCCCCTCACTCACCCTGGGAGCTGGAGCCTGCAATTCCAGGTTTCCCAGCTCTGTCCATGCACCCTGGGAGCTGGAGCCTGCAATTCCAGGTTTCCCAGCTCTGTCCCTGGGCTGGTTTTGCACGGCCATGGCACTGGATTTTTTTCATTTCCCTCCCAATCTTTTGAACAAATTCTCCTTTTCAAAGTCTGAAGCCTGTGGGGCTCCAAAATAATAACAATTAATGCTGGCAAAGACTCCTGAAGCCACCTAAGCCATCCCTCCTAGGGCAGGATTGCTGGAGCAGGCAGAGAAATTAACGGAGAGGGGAGGCACAGGAGCCAGGCAGGGACCTGCTCCCCAGCTGAAATTGGGGTAAAAAGTTGAAATCACCTAAAAAAGCTGCTGGAGAAAAAGTGGCAGAGCTGCTTTGTCATCCAAGTGCTTGATAGTTAATATGGAAGGAGTTGTAATCACTAATTTGTCCCAATTTTAACTCTTATTTCAACATTTGGTTTGGTTTCTGTTTTTCCCCCCTTATTTTGACTTTTTCCGGATTTTGTAGCAACAAGGGGCGATCAAACAGATTTACAATAGTCGGTGTTTATCACCCTTCCAGAGGCGTTAAGTGGCTATAAATGCATATGAAATATCTGCGGTGGATCCCTCGCCTGCTCAGCAATGTGTTCTTCCTACGTTCCTAATTGCTAGCAGGAAAAATAGGAGGAATTTGTTTACCAGCTTCCTGCATAATATTCAGACATCTGGAGCTGCGAGGTCTGGCTGGCGCTCCTGGGGGACAGCAAATACATCAAGGACAATTAGACAAGCGGGGAGCTGCAGCCGTCAGGGAATTCCCAACCGTGGGGAACGGCTCCGAGCCAGCCCCGGCACCCCCATCCTCCCGGGGCTCCCCTGCTCTTCCTCCTCTCCCTGACAAGCTCTTCCCTGCTCCTTTCATCATCCTGGGAACGGGCTGACTCCGCGATCTTTGAGGGTTTTTCCCTAAATTATCTCCCGACCTGTGGCTGCCGTGGGCTGCAGGTGCGTGGTGCCCATCCTGGGTGGGTTCTCCCGCAGCAGGGCTGGCACCCTCAGGAAAAGCAGTTTTTGTGGAATGGAATTGCTATCTGTGCCTCCCAAGGGTGATTTAGGCTCTTTTTAGGGAGTGGGAATACCTGGTCACCACCCTGGCGTGTGAGCCCTCCCTTCTGGCTGCTGTCACACCCCTGGGGGGACAAACTCCTTCCTGGGGGCTCCTCTGGGCTCCTGCCAGCCCTCAAAACCCAGGGATTGCCATATGAGAGCCAGGGAGCTGCAGTCCCCCTGGGGCTGCTCCTCAGCTGTGACACAGATGGGTTATTGATGATTTTCTGTTTCTTATTTAACAGCTTGAGATCAGCAGAGAGAGACTGTGTGGTTTGATTGAAATCAGCCAAGGAACTGCTTTTAATCATGATTTAAATAGGAAAAAAAAAGTGAGAAACGTTGGTTTAAGTAATCGGTTTTTAAATTTGCTTTGCATTTGGGCTTTTTGTGTTGCCTAAGTAAAGGTCTGTCTCCTTTAGGGGTGTCCTGGAACCAAAATTCTCTTTGTAACACATTAGGGCCAAAGATCACGTGGTTTCCACTTGTGATTTTGTGAACATCCTTTAATTTAATTTAATTTTTGTACAAAACCCACTTATCTGCTGTATTTTTACTCTTTTTCTGTTGCCTGTGTTCTGTAATTCCTGGTATCAGCCAGGAGGTGACTGGAAGGCAGCCAGGGACACTTTTTCCTGGAGATAATACTTTTCCTTCAACACAGACGTGAGAGAAGATGCTTAAATAGATTTGACAGCAGGGCACGAGGCTGGGGCAGCCTTTGGGAGCACTCAGGTGAGCCCAGGCCGGGGGATTTGGGAAGGGATGGGGGTCCCTGAGCCACCTGGCAGCCCCAGGAGCCCCCCAGGAGCTCCCCTGACCTTCTGCTTTGTAAATTAGCAGATCTCACCCTCTCACACCTTTGGGCAAAGAAACATGTCCAAATCCAGCTTGGACAGGCCTGGGAGAACCTGGGACAGGGGAAGGTGTCCCTGGGCATGGCAGGGGTGGCACTGGATGGGATTTAAGGTCCCTTCCAGCCCAAACCAGTCTGGGATTCTGGGATTCAGTGGAACTGTGGGCAACAGGGAGGGGAAGCACAGGCGGACCCCCAGAAATGGTTAATTTTGGATTAATTTAATTCAATTTATTTTATTCCCTTCCGCTTCTGAGAAGTCCTTCTGGCCAAGCTGGTGGCAGCATGGGCTGGGGTGGGTTTTGGGGACCCTGCCCCCTGGGCTGGGCTCCATGGATGGTTTGCCTGTGGATGTTTCCACAGGAGAGGGGCAGCTGAGTTACTGCTGGGGCCAAATGGGTCTCCTGAGCTCACGGAGCTGATTCCAGCCCGGCTGCTGCTGCTCCAGAGGGACCTCTGATCCCTCTCCTGGGGATTTAGGGAATTCTGGAATGGCTGTCCAGGGAGGTCAGACGGTGCAGTCCCCATCCCTGGGTGTGTTTAACACAGCCTGGATGTGGCACTGCGTGCCAGGGTTCAGTTGGGGGTTGGGGCTGGGCTGGACTCCATGGTCCTGGAGGTCTCCCCAGCCTGGAGATTGTGTGAGTCAGAGTTCATGCACCTGGCAGCACCCCAGGTGAGGATGGAGCCGTGGCAGGAGCACCCCCAGCTTTCTGAAGGGTCGATCAATACCTGCTGCTGCTGCAAAGGTTACGCTGGGAGCTCTCCCTGCAGATAAAACAGAACATTATGTCTTCTTCAGACTGGCTCAGAATTGCAAATCCTGGAGTGAGACACGCTGGTCCGTTTCCATGTGGGGTTCAGTGCCCAGTTCCAGCTCCAGGGGATGCAGTCCCACCCTCCCAGGCTGCTCTCCTCCCTCCCCTGCCGGTGGCACTCTTGGGGCTGGAGCTCAGCGGTGTCCTTGGTTCTGGGGCTGGAATAGGATTGTTGTGTGTGCCCGAGCTGCGAGGAGAGCTGCTGGCACTGCGTGTGGGGTCAGAGTCACCCTGGGGCAGGGAGAGCTGGAAACACCAGGGCTGGGGCTGAGGGCAGCACTGGGGCAGGGAGAGCTGGAAACACCAGAGCTGGGGCTGAGGGCAGCACTGGCAGAGCTGGAAACACCAGAGCTGGGGCTGAGGGCAGCACTGGGGCAGAGCTGGAAACACCAGAGCTGGGGCTGAGGGCAGCACTGGGGCAGGGCTGGAAACACCAGAGCTGGGGCTGAGGGCAGCACTGGGGCAGGGAGAGCTGGAAACACCAGAGCTGGGGCTGGAGGCTCCGGCGGGGATGAGCGCACCGATGCCAGCCCGCGGAGCCGCAGGGCCGAGCGATGCTCCACGAGCAGTGCTGGAGCTCCTTCCTGTGGTGGCAGCGATGAGTTACTGCCTGCGGAGCAGCGGCCGGGAAGGGCCCGGGAATGCCGCCCATGCCGGGATCCCTGCGGTCCCGGCGGGCTCAGGACGGAGTGTCCCCATGGACAGAGCCCCGGGCCAGCTGGGCGGTCACTCAGGCGTGTCCCTTAAATAATGTCATTTTCTGTCACCGTTAGGTCGGATGTGAAATGCACACACGTGATCAGGGTCCAAGAAGAAAAAGATTTTTTATTCTGTGTGTTCTCCAGCTTATATACTCTTAACAAAGCGTGATCTTAAGTCATTAATTACATCACAATAACTTATTATATTCATTGGTGCAGAGCAATTAACGTCAATATAATTGGCAAAAGTTTTACAGAAATTTAATACGGCACGAATACACATCTACTTATGCACGTAGCCTGGCTCACAAAAATGTCCATGTATCTTTTCTAATCCATTTCCATGCTGACGGCCTTGTCTTCTTCCTTGCTATGGACACACTCGAAAACCATCAAATTGTTATTTCTTCTGTTAACTCAGCTTTGCGTGCAGGCCAGCTGTCAAGGTGCTCCATAATTTTCTCACTGGTGTCCCACACCTTCCCAGGCAGGAGTGGATCTGGGGCAGGCAGCTCTGCCCAGCCCTGGCCACAGCAGCAGCAGCAGGGATGGGCAAGTGCTGCCCGCAGACCTTCAAGAGAACAGAATCTGGCCCTCCATGCTCTCTTGATGTGTTTTTTGTATGCAAATAAGGTTTGATTTGTGAACTTTGAGCAGTTTGCAGAGGAGTTTATCAGTGTTGTGTTGTTGAGTTTATACTCCTTTGGTCATCACTGGGCATTGGGAAAGCACAGAGAACATTATTTATATTATTTTAAAAAATCAAGGAATTCAGGCATCTGCTACTGGCCAGGAAAAGAGACAATCAAACCAAAGCCACGTTTGTAATCATGCTCAGCAGTATTTTTAGGAGAAGTAATTACTAAAATAATCAACAGGCGTGGATGGGATTATTAATGACAGCGATAGCCTGGAATATCCATCCCTCCCTTGCACGGAGCAGCTAGCTGGGGGGGTGGAATGAGCAGCTCTGGGGCTGTGGAGTGCCAAGCTCACACTTGGATTTTGTTGTCTCAGCTGAGGAGTTTTGGGGGGAGCAGAAACAGCCCCACTGCTGCCTGGCCGGGTGGGGATTCTGAACCCAGCACTCTCCTATCCCATGCACTGATTTTGCTCTTGCTGCTCTGAAGAAACGAAATGTAAGTTATTAATGAATTCCTTTTAATATGAGCATTTATATGCGTCGAGCTGGGCGAAACTCAAAGCGAGGTGGAAAACATCCAGGCTGCGTTACCACAGGGATGGGACACTGGGGGGGTACGAGTGTACAGCACAGGCTTCCCTGGCTGCAGGCTGGCACCCAGTGCCTGGACGGACAGGGCTGGGAGCACCTGGCACAGTGGGAGGTGTCCCTGCCATGGCAGGGGTGGCACTGGGTGGGATTTCAGGTCCTTTTCCTGCTCTGGGATTCTGTGACATCTGTGGCGATGCTCGCGCTGCTCCGCAGAGCTTACCCAGCCCCACCCGCCAAAATGAGGAGGTGCAAAGCTGCTTTAGAGAGAAAACAGCGCTACAGAGATACAGCAGGTCCAGCTGCAGCTCCCTGAGCCCCCTGGCTCTTCATTCAGGGCCAGGCGCTGCGCTCAGAGCCAAGGGAGGAGAGCAGGACTGGGAGGAGGTGGGAGCCAACCCCTTCCTCGCTTCTGGAACAGGAGCAGCGGGAATAAAATGCCACTTTTCTGGCACTAATGAACGTGTGGCGGTGAAGGAATAGCTCTGTGCCCATAGGAAGTCTGGATTTTCAGCTACTGTTTAAGTTCCTTTTCTTCCAAAAGTGCTGGTGAGGCTCAGTCCTGTCATCCACTTCCTCTTACAACCGCCGCCGACTTCAAAGGAAATCCTGCTGGCAAAATAGCTACAGAATTGTGTCAGGAGTTTATTTGCTCCCAAGATTAGATAATTAATGAAGATAGAATATTAAAATTACATTTACATAAAGCTAAGGGTAATCTTAAAGCGTTCTATTATTTTGTAAATGACCCGAAGTTTGTAACGCATTTATAATGATGAATCAGGAGACGAGGCCTTTCAAATGAGGAAGTACAATTTATAATCTCACTTTCCTTCATTATTTATTCATCCTGCTGTTGAATCATCTGCTCTTCAGAACCTGAAAAGCCAAGGAGCTCCCTTTACCTGCCACTGTTACTCTACAAGGAAACCAAGTTTTGTGTTTGAGTCAGTCCCAAGCACAGGGTGAGGGGAACTCCACACAGATCCTTGTCCTGGGCCCAGTGTGGGTGAAATTCCTACAATTCCAGCCTGCTTTGGGTGGGAAGGACCTCAAAGGTCATAATTTTCCACCCCTGCCCTGGCAGGGACACCTTCCCCTGCCCCAGGTGCTCCAGCCCCAGTGTCCAGCCTGGCCTTGGGCACTGCCAGGGATCCAGGGGCAGCCCCAGCTGCTCTGGGCACCCTGTGCCAGCCCTGCCCACCCTGCCAGGAACAATTCCTGCCCAAAATCCCATCCAAGCCTGTCTTCCTTCAGCTGACAGACACAAATTCCACAGAACTTCTGCTGTCTGGCTCTCCCTTCAGGTTCAGTCTTTGCTACACCTGGATTCCCGAAGATGTAGTGATGGTAAAACCAGACATTTTTTATTTTCAGCATAAAGCCATGGAAATAATGATTCCTTTCCACTCTGGAACTGTGTTTGTAGCATTGCCCCGAATGATTGCCCCTGTATGAACTCATGGCTCTGCTCCTTCCCAACAAGCCTCTCACCCAGCAGAGCTTTATTTAACCCCACTGCCCATTTCTGGGTGCAGCAATTTCCCAGTGCTGAATTTTCAGCACACAAACCAGACTGCCCCTGGATCCCTGGCAGTGCCCAAGGCCAGGCTGGGGCTGGGAGCACCTGGGACAGGGGAAGGTGTCCCTGCCATGGCAGGGGTGGCACTGGGTGGGGTTTGGGGTCCCTTCCCACCAAAACCATTCCAGGATTTTATCCCAAGTCTGGCTCTCAGTGGGAACCAAGAGCTCAGGAGAAGGAAATCAAAGCTGCTCCAGGAGCATTACCTCATCCCAAACAGAGCAATAAGGCCCCAAAATCTCCTGCTGTAAGAGCTGGCACTAAACCTGACCCACCTTGCTGCTCTCAGTACCGAGAGCAACACTGGGGTCAAGAAATGACAGAAAATCATCTCTCCCCTTCCCTGAAGTAACTGTCCCAGGCTGGGGAAGTGATTTGCTGCACACAGGGACTGAGAAAGCAGAGTTTGGACAGGGCAGGATTTTGAGACTCAGCTTTTACCAGGACTGGAATGACTTCAACAGGATGCTCAGCACAAGTGATGGAACCCTGGCCATAAATTCAGACAGAAAACTCAGAATGTTATTTACTAGCTACCCTAAATCACCCAATTTTCAGTGAAATAGCCTCCCTTCACCAAAAAACTCACACCAGCTATTTCCCATTGCTTACAAACTCTGCTAAAAACTCCTCAGAATTCTTTCCCTTCTCGGCTTTGCCCAGAAATGCACATTTCAAAGCTTCCCAGGCTCTTTCCTTGCTGAGCTACTGAGTCAGGGCCTGAAGCATCTGGCACTTGCTGGGAGGTGTTGAGTTCAGGGAACTTAACTTTTATTTAAAGGCTTTTTACGTTCAGGACTCAAAGACAGCAGCACCCTGTTGGTGCAGGGAGTGCTGAGGGGTTGGGGATGGATTCCTGACCTTCTCCTCGTGCCTGTGAGGATGAGGGTGCTGAGGATGAAGGCTGCTGCTCAGGAAGCTGCTCATGAGCAGAGGGAGGGCTTGGGAGGCTCAGGGAGGATTTTGACTGTGTGATTTTAGCTGTGCTCTGCCCTGCTGGAATGTTCACATTGCATTGAACTCTTTGTTATTCCCAGGGCATGGACAAGCCTGGCTTAGGGCACCACTGACAAAAGGAGAGGTGAGTTGACACTTCTTTATTAATTAAGGCATAATTAATAAATCAGGATTGAAGCTGTGGCTGCCCCTGGATCCCTGGCAGTGCCCAAGGCCAGGCTGGAGCACCTGGGGCAGGGGAAGGTGTCCCTGCCATGGCAGGGGTGGCACTGGGTGGGCTTTGAGGTCCCTTCCCAAATCAATTGGAGATTCCATGTAATTAACAGGTAAATGTTAATGGTTTGAGGGGGAAAAGCTTCCCAAGGAGCTGGGTGGAGCTGGAGCATGGCTGGGCTTGGAACAAGTGGAAAGGGGAAGGACCTGGGTGGTCAAGGCCTGCCGGAATTTCATTAATCAGTGAGCACAGTGCCTGCTCAGGGCCATCAGTGCCAGCCTGGGGTGACAGCCCAGCACGTGGGGACAGATTCCAGCTGGGACCTGCACGTGGGGACAGCTGAGGCTGATGCCACAGGCCTGGAACCCTCCGCAGAAGAGGAAAAGCCTTGGTGCTGCTGCAGGTCCGTGCTCCATCTGAGCCTTCCCGAAACTTCACAGGCCTCTCACTGTGCAATTACAGGAGGATTTTAGTCTGATTAGACATTAAAAACTCCCCTCTCCAAAGAAACTCAAAGATCAGAGACATCTCCTTTCAAGTATTACACTGAAATTTGAACACTCCTGCTGCTTATTACAAAATGTTTCTGCAAGGCACTGTGGAACTCATCGACTCAATACTTTTATTGTCAGAATTGTTTTGTTTTCTCTATAAATCCAAGCATTTCACTTCCATACCCTTCTTTTTTTATGAAAATGTTGTTAGGGAAGTTTTAGTCACAGCTTGAGCAGGATGCACAGTCACAAGCCACTGCTGTGGGTACATTACCAGGACCGTGAGAATCACAACCAAACACAAAATAAATGACATGTTTGTCCTTCAGCTGGGTGAAAATGGGAATGCAAAGTCTAGAGTCTTATTTTTCCTGATCCCCACAATTCTCTAATCTTATCAAATATACATTCCCATATTCCAAGGCAGCCTGATAAAGCAGCTTGCAAGAAATAAGTTGCATTAGATTGTGCAGAGCACATTTTCCTGGGAAATCCAATTTCACAATCATGTTCTGGTGACATTTAGCCATTGCTTAGTGCAGCAAGGGTTCCTCGGGTATTTGAAACACTGAGTCCTGTGGCAGGAGGACCAGGGCAGGGATTGTCCCCCTGTGCCACCACTGGGACCTCAGTCCAGCTCTGGGTTCTCCAGGAGAGCCCTGCAGGACCAGGGCAGGGAGGACCAGGGCAGTGACACCACTGGGACCTCGAGGGTTCAGTCCAGCTCTGGGTTCTCCAGGAGAGCCCTGGAGGGGCTGGAGGAGAGCAGGGCAGGGAATGGAGCTGGGAAGGGGCTGCAGTGACAGGGTGCACTCTGGGGTCCGGGAGGTCCTGTCCCTCCTCAGGGATCCTGCCCACTCCTTCCCCAGCCCCTGCTCTTCCCGGCTTCCCTCACCCTCTGCGGGCAGGGAAGGATCACTCCCCCTGGAGCCCAGACTCCCAGCAGAGCCCGGCTCCAGGGGCTGCTGGCCGTGGCACAGCTGCACAGGGAGCGTGCTGTCCCTGTTTGTCTGGGAGTGCAGGTGCCTCCAGGTTCATAAATCTGTATGCAGTAGTAGGGGTTCTCTACCAGCAATTCATTTTAATTATGTGAGACATAAAAAGACCACCTACAGATGAGACAATACAGCTGTAAGATTCTCAAGGTTACTACGGGGAATACTTCATAACTGAAGTATGTTTTCCCCGAGGAATTTGACTACCATTTGATTTAATTTTTAATTTTTACATTTTAATCAAAAATAGATCAAATGGTGGTGTTGTCCCCTGGGAACCATACTTCAGATATGAAGCAGTCCATGTTCCTTTTAAATATGTAAAGCTGCCATTTATGTATAACTCATGAATGACACCCTGTGTTGCAAGCAAATATCACGCGGCGATTTCGGGATCGTTGCAGGAACAACACCACAATCACACCAAAATATCAAAATATGCCCCAGCACAGAGCCAGCAGCACCCAGGGATGCCCTGACAGCTGATCCTGCCCATGCCCAGGGGAAGGAGAAGCCCCAGGATGGAAGATGAGCCCGTGGAGGTTGTGCTGATCCCCCTGGGTGGAGGAGCAGGGGAGGAGCAGCTCTGGGAGCTGGGCTTGGGTCAGGAGCAGAGTTTGGGACACCAGAGCCAAGCACGGCTGCTCCAGGCTTGGGGAGGCTGCACAGGGGCTGGGGACAAGGATGGAGGGACAGGACACAGGGAATGGCTCCACTGCCAGAGGGCAGGGCTGGATGGGAGATTGGGAATTGGGAATTGTTCCCTGGCAGGGTGGGCAGGGCTGGCACAGGGTGCCCAGAGCAGCTGGGGCTGCCCCTGGATCCCTGGCAGTGCCCAAGGCCAGGCTGGACACTGGGGCTGGAGCACCTGGGGCAGGGGAAGGTGTCCCTGCCATGGCAGGGGTGGCACTGGGGGGGATCTGGGGTCCTTCCAACCCAGGCCAGTCTGGAATTCTGTGACAAGAAGCAGCCTCAAGCTGGGCCAGGGGAGGTTCAGGATGGAACTTGGGAAAATTCCTTCCTGGAAAGGGCTGGAGTGCCCAGCCCTGTGGAGGTGGCACTTGGGGACATGGTCAGTGGTGGCCTGGGCAGGGCAGGGAAGGGCTGGACTCCATGGGCTCAGAGCCTTTTCCAACCTGAACAATCCTGTGACTCTGTTGCACCCTCCTGGCATTTTTTATTTTCCTGTGATTTTAAACAGTGTGGCCACTGCTTTTTTTGCTTCCTTGAGAAGGGCTGGGAACAGCCCAGGAGGGGAGAGGAAAGGCCGAGTCCTGGTGTCCCCGGGGTGGGGGAGCTGCTGGAGCCCTGGGAAATGAGGTGACAACTCCTGCTGTGCAGGAATCCCCAGCCAAGTCCCTGTGCCCAAAGCTGCAGCCTGGTCCTGCTCAGAGCACCAAGCCCAGGAAAGGACAGGCAGGGACCCGGAGTGGAAGCTGGCTGTGGGAGGAATGCCCAGTGTGAGTGTTAATTGGGTAATTATCTGCAGCAATCAGGGCAAAGGCAGAGTTGTTTATGTGTGACTCTGAATCTGCCAACACAGGGTGTCACACCACCCTCCCAGGAGAGCTGCTGGGGTTTTAAGCAACTAATTTAGACATAAACACCACGGGTTTGAAATCTAGTCAATAAATTATAATATCTAAAATAAACAAAAATAAATTTAAATACATTAACTCTATTCAACACATAAGTCTTGTCTTGTCAGATCCACGTTGCCTTTAAACTCCACTTACCCAATATTTTGATTTTCCATCTTTTTTTGGCAGTCAAGATGCCAAGTGGACCTGTAATTACCATCAAATTAATAAACTGAGCACCTAAACCTACTACAAAGATTTTACATGACATAAATAATATATTTATTCTCCTCATCAGAGGTTTTATTTACCTTTATTCCTCAGAAATCATTCATGGAATAACACAACCAGACAATTCCATGCTGTAGCCAAAGTGGTGTTTAATGCTTCTGCTTTTATAAGGAACAATTTAAAAAATACAAAGTTAAAAATAAGAATTAGATCCTTTAAACCTGAATTAAAAACAGGCCAGGGGCCTTTCTCGCTATATACAGGTAAATAAAGCATCACTCTGGTTATTCTGTGTACAAACCACAGCAGTAGGAAATACAAAGTTTACTTTTTTTTTCATCAAGAAAACAAAAATTCAGAGTTTACAAGGCATACAAAAATAACTCTGTGGTTCCACTGCAGATTTGACACAAATCTGCTTTAAAGGAATATTCACTGCCCCAGCCTGTGCCAGCTTTACGATCCTAGAAAATCCCAAAATAAATTACAAACACATCTATTTTAAAAAGTATCACCATTAAAAGCCTTCAGTGGAGCAGACAATTAAAGTCCAATTTGCTTCCAGCCTGACTGATTTAAAAAAGCACTCCTTGCCCTCTTGGAAAACATGGAGCAAGGAATCTCATCTGAGAGGAAAAGTTCACTTTGGAATTGATCCAGGAGCTTCTGCCTTCCAGTGTGGGGAAAATTCAGGATAATGGGGGGTCTGAGAGGAGTTAAAGGTGATTTTATTCAGAGTTTAGGAGGAGTGGGAACACCTGGGTGTGACCTGCAGGGAGCAGCTCCAGGGGCTCCCCAGAATGGAGCTGAAATGTGCCAGGGCAGCAGCTGCCCTGCCGTGGGAGCACCTGGGTGTGACCTGCAGGGAGCAGCTCCAGGGGCTCCCCAGAATGGAGCTGAAATGTGCATTTCTGCAGAGCAGGCTGGGCAGCCAGGGAGCAGCTCCAGGGGTGAGGACAGCTCCCCAGAATGGAGCTGAAATGTGCATTTCTGCAGAGCCAGGGGCAGCCCTGGCACAGGGGGCACAGAGCAGCTGGGGCAGTGCCCAAGGCCAGGCTGGATGGGGCTGGGAGCACTGGGACAGGGGGAGGAGCTGGATGGCCCTTTCCAGCCCAAAGCAGGCTGGAATTCTGCAGGGAGTGGGAACTGGGACAGCTGGAAATGAGGGCAGGCTCCTTTGCACTGCCCGATGCCCCTTTTGGGGCTCACTCCCAGCACAGGTGGCACTAGGAGGAGAATATATTTTATTTATTGATTTAAATATCAGCACTGACTTGCTCAGCTTTCACCTCTGTGCTCCTGGAGAATTCCCAACACAGAGAGCCCAGCCTGGGAAACATCCCAGTGTGGGAAACACCTGGGAATTCCCAGTGTCCCAAAGTCCCTGCCAGCCTGGCTGCACGTGGCATTTGGGACGGGAGAAGGATGTCCCTGCTCACCCAAAAGCAGGATCAGGTGCTCCTGGTTTGCCCAGCTGTGGAGCTCAGGAATCCCCTGGATGAAATGCAGTGAAACCCCTGCCCCGTGCCCACTGACAGGGGTTAAATTTATTTAAATAAATTAAATAAATGAGCAGCACACAAATACTGAGGTTACTCAAGGAGCACATGAGGAAATAAACCTAAAACCAGACCTGCACTAAACTGGCATTCAGATTTTGGTTAAAAAAAAACCCAAAAGTTCCCAAAAATCCCATTAAAATTCTGCTGCAGCCACCAGCTGGGAGCAGCCCTGGGATTCACATTTCAGACCAGTGCTGGAAAAGCAGGATTTAAAAGGATGTGCCACAAACCCCACCAGGAGCAGAAGGAAAACCAGAAAGGAACCAGCTGGCTCTTGGTTTTATCCCAGTCCAGACCAGATCCAAGTTTAAAGCAAACAGAGGAAATGTTGACACAGGTATCTGTGCACTCCTGAACATGATAAAATGGGAGTTATTTAAGGAAAAACCACTTTTTGCTTTGATAATCCACAGATTCCCTGTGTTTTAAACTTGATCCCATACTTTTGCCTGATGTATTCTGGCAGAAAACTCTTCCATCACAGACTCTGAGTCCAGTTTTGGTATTCCCCTCTTTGAACACCTGAAATTTTGACTATATTTGACAAATTTTTGATCAGCCCTAATCATTACCTGTCGCACTTGAGGTTTTGAGTGATTCTGCAGGAACTAAACCCGTTTAGCCCCTTACATTGAATCAGATATTTCAGCTTTTGCAGCACACAAACTGCTGTTTATCCACCTTTTTTAAAAAAATACTGCTTTGATGACCAGGATTTTTAAAAAGACAAGGGTGGGGGATGTAAAAATGAATTCCCCACAAATTCTGACCCCCAGATCTTGGTATTGAGTATGTAAATACTAACTTGAAAGTATTTATTCTAAATTCAACTAAAATTTTTATTGGCTTGGAGGAAACTTTTTTTTTTTTAAACCGAAATCTGAATGCCAATGAAGTGCAGGTCTGCTTTTAGACTCAGCTCCTCATGTATTACTTAATTAAACTCAATATTATGTGATATCCATTGATTTAATGAGAATATCTCGACTCAGTGCTGACTCCAACTCCACACATAACATGGGAAGGATTCAAGGACTGCAAAAAACCTTTGCCTGTGGATTTTGCAGCCTGATAACCCCCAAAATTAACCTTTCAGAGGTTAATTAACCTGTCCTCAGATCTGTGCCAATAAAAGCCTGTTGGGTGACAAGGTCAAGCCTTTTTAAACAGATTTTTTTTGGGAATTTAATGTAAGCTTCAGTAGGATTTTTTCCTGGACTTCACAGCTGCAAAGCCACTTAAAAATGAAGATTTGTGTCCTCCCATTCCTGCCTGTGGCCCTGCACAAGGAGGATTTTCCAAAGCAGCATTTTCCAAGGGGGTCAGGGCTGTTGGGAAAACCTTTGGAATCAGCACAAGCTCTGGCTCAGTCCCAGGTGAAGCCTGGGCCCACAGCCAGCTCAACTTAACCAGTCTAAAACATGAAATCTGCCTTTCCTTGTCCTTTCTGGACAAATTCTGAGCTACCCAAACATGAAATCTGCCTTTCCTTGTCCTTTTAAAACAATTTCTGAGCTACCTAAACATGAAATCTGCCTTTCCTTGTCCTTTTAAAACAATTTCTGAGCTATCTAAACATGAAATCTGCCTTTCCTTGTCCTTTCTGGACAAATTCTGAGCTACCCAAACATGAAATCTGCCTTTCCTTGTCCTTTTAAAACAAATTCTGAGCTACCTAAACATGAAATCTGAATTTTCTTGTCCTTTTTAAAACAAATTCTGAACTAGTTAAACATGGAATCAGCCTTTCCTTGTCCTTTCTGGACAAATTCAGAGCTACCTGAGGGGCAGAAGCGTTTTGGGCAGGTGTGGAGTTGCAGGGCATGGTGCCCAGAGGGGCAGCAGGGCAGGGGGTGCTGAGGCAGGCAGGGCAGAGCCCAGGATCAGCTGCATCCTGGGCATCCCAGCAGGAAATCAGAGCTGCTCCTCTCTGTTTCTAGAAGCTCAGGATGTGACTGAAGTGGCCCTGGAATGAGAAAATCTCAGGTCAGTACAAAGGAGCTTGGCAAAAAGGCTTTTCCTCACTCTTCATTTTCAAATTTTATTTGAAATCGCTGAGTACCACCACAAATATTCCTTTTTTTTTGTTCCCTCCAGGGATGAATGGAAATAAATTAACACAATCAATGTCTGCTCAGTCACAGCTCCTGATGGAAACTCTGATGGAAACTTTGCCTTTAATTCCATAAATCAGAGATTTTGCTATGAACATCCAGCATTTCCTCACACCTCTCCTCATTTTGGCTCTGGAAGGAGCAATATTTTCAATATTTTAGCTATTCCTCAGAAAGGAAATATCCAATTACAAAAAAAAAGGAGATAGAATGAGATTCCTGAATATTTTGTTATGATCCAGTAAATCAAGGAGACATAAAACTGGGTGGAGGAAGTGTTATATTATTGTTTCTTTCAGTTACTTCCCAAATTCTGCTTTTTAGAGAGAATTTGACAAATGTGTTGAGAATCTCCAGATTTTCCAACTGTTGCTGGAAATATTAATTTGTGCTCTGCTGAAATTCTAGATCCATCTCCTTTATTTTTAATTTCCACGCTTTATTCCAGAGCAATGCAATTGTGAGGATTATTAACTTCATGTTGTAATGGGGAACAAGTCCCAGTCCTTTTTGTCCCAAAAAGCAGATTCCCACACTTACAGATTCTCCAGCAACACATCTCGGGCAGGGCTGGGAAATGCCTTTGCTCCCATGATTTTCCAAAATCTGAGGAACAAAACCAGACACAAATTCATCAAAAAATGAAAAATAAAAAGAAAAAAAAAGAGAAAAAAAGAAAAAAAGAGGGTAATTACTTGCAGCTTTATGATAAAATGTATTTGAGAAGTGATTTTGCAGCAAACCCACGGACAGTGGGCACTTACCAGGGAATTCTGCTTTGTCTTTGCAGCCCAGGGAGCAGAGTCAGGGAGGAGTTTCTGCCTGGAATCCAGGTCCATGGCACAGCCCACGAGCTGGGCACCAGGCTCCCGTGGAATGGTGTCCAGCAGCCTGCACACCCGCTTCTGGAACAGCCAAGAGCAGCAGTGACATCTCTGTGCCAGCACAGGCCCCCCGTCCTGGGAGTGTCCTGTGCCTCCCCAGGATGCCAGATGCACTGGGAGGAACACCAGGATAACAGTGGGCTATGTGGGACTAGGGCAGAACAGCAAGGTCTGGGTTTCCCTCTGCCCCTCGTGCTGGGAGAGCAGGAATTCTGTACCTCACACGTCCCTGGGGGCAGGAATTCTGTACCTGACAGGAATTCTGTACCTCACACCTCCCTGGGGCAGGAATTCTGTGTCTCACATCTCCCTGGGAGCAGGAATTCTGTACCTGGCAGGAATTCTGTACCTCACACCTCCCTGGGGCAGGAATTCTGTACCTCACACCTCCCTGGGAGCAGGAATTCTGTACCTGACAGGAATTCTGTACCTCACACCTCCCTGTGCCCCTGTGAGCAGGAATTCTGTACCTCACACCTCCCTGGGGGCAGGAATTCTGTACCTCACACCTCCCTGTGCCCCATGAAATCCCTGGGAAAAGGCATCCCTGAGCCTCCACCCCAGCAGGACCTGGCATGGGGCTGATCCAAGGAATTGTGTGGAAGGAGGATTAAATCCAGGAAACAGAAGGAACAGCCTTGGATCCCTGCTCCCAGTGAGGGGAACATCCTTGAAAGGATGTTTTGTGCCTTCCCTGAACACAGGCACCTTCTCCCAGAGCTATTCCATCCACTCACTTCTCCTGGAGCTGTGCCTGAGCCCTGCCCAGCACCAGGGGCTCCCAAACTGCTGCTCTGAGCAGCACGCTGGGAATGGGGAGCTTCAGCTGCAAATCCATGGAAAAACCACGTGGAAACCTCCAGAAGAACATCCCTGGGCTGAGAGCACCCCTGGAAAGGGAGGGTGACCCACACCCAGGCAGGGCTCCCTGGAACTGCCCAGGAAATGAACACAAACACGGGAATTCCCAAACTGACACGGATTGAGGGCCTGAATGCCAGAGACACTCACACACTTGGGATGTTCCTTCCCAAAGAAACTTTGTTTAAGGAATCCCAACATCCCATTTCTCCAGGAAGCTGTGCTGGCACAGAACTAACAGACTACTGAAGCACACAAACGGACTTTAAAGTTGGAATAAGTTGTGGAAAACCAAAAATGGATCAATGCACCCAGAACCTCAGCAGGAAACAGCTGAGATGGGACCAGCAGGAAGGGAGGCAGGATATCAGGATGGGAAGGGAATCCAAAAGTGAAATATGTACTGCAGTAAGAAAAGGAATAATGCAATAAAAGTCTGGGGAGGTCCTCTAAATCCTTGAGATTGCCTCCCACTGGGAAAATATCCCCTGCTCTGCTGCTGCAGAACTCCTCCTTCACTGCAGGGAAAGGCAAAGTGCAGCAGCAAACGGGGAATATGTGTCAGATGAGGGGCCAAAGGGAAAAATTACCCAATGCCCCCCTCCAGAAGGAATTTGGCAGATTGAAAATAAACTCTAGGTATTGTTTTGGGGGTTTGCTCAGTGTCAGGAATTCAGCACAGGAGGAGACAAACTCATCCCAATGCCAGCCTGGGGGAGCTTCTTGCTCAGGGGAGACTCCAGCCTCTGGGATTGTCTGCTGGGGAAGAAGCAGCCACTGCAGAGCCCTGCCTGTGCCAGGGATCAGCAGCCCCTGCTCCAAAGGCAAGCAGGGACTGTTTGCTCGTGCCAGGGAATGATCTGGGCAGGCAGCTGGGAAAGGAGCAGGACACCAGCAAGAGGCAGGAACAACACATCTCCCTGCAGGGAAATCACCCTCACTTTCCTGTCCAGCTGAAAGCCCTGGGAAATCCACTCCTTTTCACTGATGGGATAAAGACCTCAGAGATGAAACCTCACTCATGCCAAACCCAGCTCCACTGGACACCCAACCTGAAGGAGCTGTAGGAAAAGTTCTGCTCATTTGTTGGGGTATTTTGGGTACAATTTAAAAGATTTTCTCCAACTTTACTATGTCCTTGTTGTGCAATTTCTGCTTTTTGAGCCCATTTTTAAAGCCAGCCTGTGTCCTGTTTGGGGTTCCAGCAGGCCTGTCCCACAGGTCTCCACAGAGCCCAGCTCCCCCTGGATCCCTGAGGAATGATCCCCCTGGGGAGATGCTCCCTGCTTTTTGCCCTATGGAAGCATGGCTCTGTCTGGGAAAGCACAGGGAATGTGAGATCCATGCAGATCCACCTGGGAAACTCTGCCTGAAGAGCAATCCAAACCAGGACACACTGAGAGCCCTGAAAATCTGATACTCCTCTAAGTCCAAATGCCTTAAAATCCAGCCTTCCAACCCAAACCAGCCTGGGATTCTGATTCCTTCCTCTCTGTCACCTCGGAGCCAGGAGAGCAGCAATAGATGGGATTAGTCAGGCTGCCTGGTAAAGAGGGTTTCAGCCGGAAAGAAAGAAAAAAATTAAATACGGAAAAAAAGAATAAAAAGAGGAAAAGAAAAAAATACCGGTAAGAAAAAAAGGGGGGAAAAAACAAAGCAGAGGAAAAGAAAAGGAAAAAAAAAAGGGAAGGAAAGAAAGGGAAAATATGTGAAAAGAAAAAAGGAAAAAGAAAAAAGGGAAAAAAAATGGAAAGAGTAATTAAAAATGAATAAAGGAAAAGGAAGAAAGGGAAAACCGAGAAATTCAAAAGGAAACAAGGAAAAGGAAGAAAGGGAAAAAGATATAAAAAAAGAACAGGGAAAATAAAACGGGAAAGTGAAAATGCAGGAAAATAAACGATGGAAAAGCAGGGGGAAAAAGCAAAACCCCGAAGCCTGTTGGGCTCAGTGCCCGGCCGGGCCGTGCTGCTCCCGATCCAGCACCACCGCGACAGTCGCGACACGGCCCGGGCGCGACGGGACCGGCACCGGCACCGGGACAGGGAACGGCACCGGGACAGGGAACGGCACCGGGCCCTGCCCGAGCCTCTGCCCCGGTGCCGTCCCCATTCCACTCACGCATTCCGGCTCCCCGGCTGGCCCCGGCCCGGGCGCCCCGCGCCGGCCCCGCACCGGCCCCGCGGCCATGGCGGCACCGGCACCGCCCCGGGACCCGGGATCCGCCCCCGAGACCTCCCCCCGACACCGGCACCGCCCCTGGAACCGGGATCAGCCCCGGGATCCACCTCCGGAACCGCCCTGGGATCCACCCCGAGACTGCCCCTGGAACCGGGATCCGCCCGGAACCGCCCCGGATCGCCCCCGGAACGGGCACCGGGATGCGCTCCTGGAACCGCCCCTGGATCCACCGCCGGAACCTCCCACCGGCACCGGGATCCGCTCCTGGAACCTCCCCTGGACACAGCCCCGAGCCCGGGATCCGCCCCGAGCCCGCCCCGGACCGGCCGGGGATGCGGTCCCGGTTCCGACACCGCCCCGGGGCGATCGCGGCCGCTCCGCGTCCACCGCGCAGCGCGGAGCCCGCCCGGACCACGGGATTGCCGCACTTGGAAGGGACCCCAAACCCCACCCAGTGCCACCCCTGCCATGCAGGGACACCTTCCCCTGCCCCAGGTGCTCCAGCCCCAGTGTCCAGCCTGGCCTTGGGCACTGCCAGGGATCCAGGGGCAGCCCCAGCTGCTCTGGGCACCCTGTGCCAGCCCTGCCCACCCTGCCAGGAACAATTCCCAATTCCCAATCTCCCATCTAAATTTGCCCACTGCCAGCTTAAAGCCATCCCCCGTGTGCTGTCCCTCCATCTCTCAGCTCCTTCAGGCACTGAAGGTCACAGAGCTCACCCCAATCCTTCTCCAGGCTGAACGATCCCCATTCTCCCAGCCCTTCCCACAGGGGAGAAGCTCCCTCCACCCTCTCTCATAGGACACTGCTGCCCTTCCAGTTGCACTGAGCAGTTTTGCAGGAGAGAACACAGATTATTATTCCCTGGCATCCCTTCCTTCTGGAGCTCATTCTGCACTCAGGATCCAGTTGTACTTCCAGGAGATGCTCTGTCACATTCCCTGGGCTCGAGGGCGTCTCACAAAAGATAATCCACAAATTCTTCTGTTTATCCTTTTTTTATTTAGCACTTGCCATGCCTGATAGCAGAATAGGCAAAATCCAGGTAAATCCAGTTTGCAGAACATCCCAAGTCCCTGCAGAGCTGGAACCAAACCCAAACCCAGCCACAACAAATCAGATTTATTTATTTCCAAGCCAGAGCTGCTTATGTGTCCTGCCAGTAAAGCTCTGGGGAGTGTTTTCCAGTGCCTGTTCCTGGGGAGAACAATGGGATGCACCACAAACCCCAGGAATTCTGTCCCACATCCACCTCAGTGTGCCAGCACGGGGCAGGGCATCCCATCCTGCAGGTGCCAGCTGTGCACCTGGCTGCTGTTGATGTGGACACACCTCCAAATTTCCACCGTGTCTTCTCCAGGTGAGCCCTGACCATGAAACCCCTCCAGGATGGGAACACGGACGTGCTGTCGCTGGCAGAGGGAGCTGGTTCCCCTCCATGCCATCAGCTGGACTTTCTGATTTTTATCTGACATGTTTTGCCCTGGATTTGCAGAGAAATTCCTTTGTACCACCCCAAAATCCCGTTTTTAGCTTTGGTGTGGAATCCTGAGAAAGTGAGGGCTCACAAGTCTCATTCTCCTCCCAGTTTCCCCCCTTTTTCTCCATCCTTTCTCTGCTGTTAACTCACTCATTTCACGGGGTTCCAGGTGATTTAAAAGGAGAATTTCTCAGAAGTACCTGGGTTGGAAGGAACCTCTTGAGGTGCTCCTGAAGCAGGATTGTGAGCCGAGGGGAAGCTCCTCTTCCAAAGATGAAGATCTCACACCCTGCCCCACTTTGGCCACCTCCAGAATTAAACCTGTTTGCCCCAAATAAATGGATTTAGGATCCACCAACTGCTCACAGCTTCCCCCCTTCCCTTGGCACTCCTTGCAGAGTGCTGGGAGACAGCCTCGGGATTTACAACTTTAATTGCAATTCCAAACCTGTTTGTTCTCTTTTATTGGGCCAAAGCTGAATGAGATCTTTAGAATTTCAGCTGGGCCCTTCATTTTACCATTTTTTCCAGAGGAAAATATCAGTATTTCCACGTTTTCCCAGTAAAACTCCCCATTATTTTGTTCTATTCTGTGTGTACATCTCTGTGACATTTAACCAGGAAAACTGCTGTCCTGCCAGAGCCTTTTCCCAGTGCTCTTCAGTAAATGTTTTAAAACTTAATTTTATTTCTTCATTTTGTTTTTAAATGTCTTCATTTAATACCAATTATATTTTAATATCTGAATAATAATATCGGAATAAAGAAAGGATGTAGCCACATAAGAAAAAGGTTGCTACGTGTATTCTGAAGTTATTATTTTTTATTTTACACTGCAATAAATACTATTTATGGACTGGATATATCTGTGGATATATCCTGAATACTTGGCAAGTTCCAGCTACTTCCAGCTGGAATTCCAGTCTCTCTCCTGTTATGTCTTTTTGTCTGTAGTATTAACAGCATTAAGCACCAGGAACTTTTCTGCCATGCAAGAAATGGTGGGATCAGGGCCTGGCTAGAACAGGAATTAGGTTAAACATCAATATTTCAGGGAATTCCCAGCTGGAATGTATCAGGTTAACCCTGTATCCATAGGGAAGGTGCTTTCACTCCTCCAGCTGGGCACTAAAACGTGGAAATTAGCACATGGAAAGGTGTTGGAGCCCTGGAAACTGAGAATTCCAGACTTTCTGTGCTGCCAGGCACTGACCCCCAGGAGAACACTGCACTGACCTGAGCCCCTGGAGAAGCTTCCAGAATGGAATGACAGAACTGGGGTTGTGGGTGTGGAGTTTGGATAGAAGTGTGTGCTATCACAGGGTGGAAAATGTAGAGTTTAGGGGTTTAGAATATAGGAATAGATATAAGGCAAGATGGAGGTTTTGGGGCGGAGACTGCTCCTTCTTCTTCACCTTTTTCTTCACAAGTTTAGGTAATATTGTGTAATTGGATAAGAAAGCCCACACTCCAGATCAAAGGTAGTTGGTTATTAAGTTAAAAGTAAAAATAATTTAGGTGCAATTTCTTAATTGGACAGTTTATCCTTAAAAGGCCTTGTAGAGAGAGAGATGGGGCTCCATTTTCAGTTTGTTGAAGTGCTGCAGAGCTCAGCGTTTGTGAGACTGTGACAGGGACAAAAACAAATAAACATCTGAGTCCCAAGGAGAAATACCCTCTCACACATTTAATCCTGACCTTGGCAGAAAAGAAACAAAGAATGCATTAGAAAGGCAACACAGGATTCCTTGGGAAACCTGCTGGAAAGCTGCAGCGGGGTTTGGGAGCAGCTGGGAGCACCCAGCCAGCCTCTTCCCTCGGGGGTTTCTCACCCCAGTCTGGGCTCCACATCCATCTCCCTGGGCTGCAGGTGAGCAGGGCTAATTAACCTGCCACTTGCCGGGTTAATTCGTCCCCCTGCCTGCTCCATCCCGAGTCCTTGAAGCTCCCCGGGACGCTCCTGCCAAGGCTCCATATGGGATCCCAGAAATACAGCTGGCTGGGAGGGAGATTTAGCTCTCCCCTGTCTCCGTGGGCCTATCCATTTGGAGCAGCAGTCCTCGCCTTCCCCTTCCCAAGGAACCTGCAAAAGGTCTCGGGAAGCTCTCAAGGCTGAGGCTTTGATTTATGGGGCAGAGCTGGAGCTGACATCGGCCACGGAGGGAAGGGATTTATTTCCAGGGGTTCCATCTGTCCCACGCCTCCTTCCCGGAGCAGAACCTGGCACGGAGCCTCGGCCCCCATCCCAAAATGCCTGTCCAGACCCTTGGGATCCCCTCTGCTGAATTCCTTCACGGCCCAGACTCACCTCTGTGTGCTGGGAGCTCACCAGGAATGCGACTGGGACAGGGAAAAGAATCCCAAACCCAGGAGTGAATTCCGTGGGATTTCCCATGGAAGCCCGGTGTGACACAGAGGGAATGTCCACAGCAAAACTCTGTTTGGTGGAGAGCTCCAAGGGCAAAAGGGTTTCCTGCTGGAAAATAGGTTTGTGTGTGGAATTCCCTGCTTTAGCCTCACTAATGGCACAGTGTGGTGCCCGCTGATCCCAGCCAGGTGTTCTCCCTGTTGTTCCACATGGGATTTTATTTAATATGAGCTGGAATCTAAAATAAAATTGGGCAATCCTTTGATAACACAAGAATTCAGGATTTAAACAAAATTATTTTCTTCAAAATAAATATTTTATGGGGGAAAACCCCCATGTTTTTTCCTTGTTTTGTGAGAGAGGAACAATAATTTTTAAAAGCTCAGAAAATCAGCAAACAGGATAAAATCCCAAACATGATCTTCCTAAAGTCTGGAAATTTTGATTATTGCACTGGGTTTCTGTCAGATTAAAATGTCAGAGAAAATAACAGAATTAGACTTTCTTTTCTCCACTCACATAATTTATATCAACTAGAATTTATGGAAACAATTATTTAGTATTTATGGAAAATGTGCAGTTTTGTATCTTTTTCTTTGTTTTCTTTAAACATACTTTAGCCTATAGGAAAAGACAATAAATGGAGATATTAATAGTTAATTTTGCATTAATTTTCTTTTGGATAATTCAGATAAAACATAGCTGACTAATGTGTCAAAACTGTACATGAAATGTACCCAGTGGAATTCCAGGCTGTTCCATGCCCATCTCTGTAGCAGCACAGAGATCAGAGTGCTCTGGATTCATTTCTGTCTCTTCCTGCATCAGGAGGATTCTTGGACAGCCCAAAATAAACATTCACTGTTCTCACCCACCCAGCACTTCCCATCACTGGGCTCATCCTGGCTCCAGATTTAGGGGCAGCGAGCTCCAGGGGCGAGCCCCTCGTTTCACCTTGACAACACCCCAGGTTCTTTTCCACAGAATCTCCTGGAAATGCAGAGGAAAACGGGAATTTGTCACCCTGAGGAGCAGCCTGGTACTCAGAGGGTCGGTGGCTCCGGGTGCTGAGGGACAGCAGGGCCCAGCGGGGTCCCCAGGGGCTGCACTGTGACACTGGGGACACGCCAGGGCACTGCTGGCACCTGGGCAGGTGAGGGAGCAGTGACACCCCTGAGGGATGGGATGGCATCCAGGGGGACCTGGACACGCTCCAGAAGTGCCCTGGAGCCAGGCTGGCACACCTGGGGGGCTCACCTGGAGAGGAGCAGCTCCAGGAGAGCTCAGAGCCCTGCCAGGGCCTGAAGGGGCTCCAGGAGAGCTGCAGAGGGACTGGGGACAAGGATGGAGGGACAGGACACAGGGAATGGCTCCACTGCCAGGGGCAGGGCTGGATGGGAGATTGGGAATTGGGAATTGTTCCTGGCAGTGTTATCTCAAACAGGTTTCATTCCCTGCTGTGGAAGAGCCCAGGATTTATTTCCAGATCTGCACAAAAAGGGGACAGGGCTGATCCCCCAAAGCCAACACACAATTACCAAAACTTGTCACTGTTTATACATTTCACCAGACAAAGGCACAAATGTTCACTGGCTGCACGTCACACAGCTCCCTTATTAATTAGTGTTCTGTGTCCTCGTTAAAGATTCTCTGATTATCCAATGATTCCTGGTGTTCTCTGCTTTGGGGTTTCTCAGGTTGTTGGTCTCCATCTGCTCCCCCTGGAATTCCCTTCTTCCCAGTGGGAGCTGACCCAGCACAGCTGGCCAGTTGTTTTTATTGGTTTCTTCCTTAGCTTGGAATAAGATACGGACACACTTGCTGAGTGCCCTTGGGGCTGGCAAATTCTGTATTCCCCGTGCCCTCTGTCAGTGGGAATCCTTCTGCTGCCTCAGGTTTGGCTTTTCTATTTTCCACATTCTGTGCTGCTTTAGTGTGTGGGGCTGGGTTCACATCAGGGATGCTGAGCTCTGCACAGAGCAGGGACACAAAACAATTCCTGCTCCAGCTGGGCACCAAGGACAAATGATCCCAATCCCAGCCCAGGAGCACAAAGCCCGTGGGCTGCAGAGAGAAAAACAAGGATGGGAGTGCAGGGGCTGCAGTGGGATTGGACACTGAACTGCAATGTGCACATGGAGCAGAGCTGAGCCCAGGGAGAGACCCCGGCAGCGCTCGTGCATTTTGGGGCCATTTGGGTTCATCCTGGGGGCAGCCCTGGCTGGGCTCTGCTGCTGCCCAAGGGGCATCCATGGAGGAGATCCTTTGAGTAAATCCCTGCTTTATTCTGGAGCTCTGTTTTTTTTTCCAGGGTAGCCCTCTCAAGGCCTCAGTTTTTCCCAAAATGCGTTGTTGTTCTCGCTGCCCGGGCCCGTGCAGCCCGGGCAGCGCTGAGGCCGGGCTCAGTGCCCCTTCGGGCCGCCTCACGGGCGGGGCGGCCCAGCACAGCCCTGAGGGGAACCCGCCCTGCGGGCCGGGCCGGGTGTGACGGGAGCGGCTCCCACAGGGCCGGCGCGGGGCACACGTGACACCGGCAGGACACGTGAGGCGGGAGTGACACGTGACAGTGGGCGATGCGTGAGGCGGCGGTACACGTGACGCGGGCAGGCCACGTGAGGCGGGAGGAAGCGCGTTGGGCGGGGCGGACGCACGTGACGCCGCCGGGCGCCGCCACGTGACCGCCGGGCGCCCCCACGTGTCCCTGGCTCGGCCCGGCCATGGCGGGCGCGGTGGCGGCCGCGGGCTCCGTGGAGCAGTTCCAGAAGCTGCTGCAGCGCCCGGACAGGTGAGGGGGCAGCGGCGGGGCCCGGCCCTGTGTCCCTTACCGGGGCTGCCGTCCCGCCCGGCCGTCCCGCAGTCTCCTCCGCGGGGGCCGGCCCCGCCTCCCGTCCCTCGGTGCCATCCGTTGGTGCCGCAGCGGTGTCACCTCCGCGGGTGCCAGCCCGGCTTCCCCAGCCCGCTGTCCCCTGTCGGTGTCCCGTCCCTCGGTGCCATCCCGCTGTCCCCTCCCGGTCCCCGCAGGGCCCAGCTCGGGATGGGCCGCGGCGCTCCGTGAAACCTGCCAGGGGAAGATAAAAAACCCGAAATGGAGAGAAACCGAGCCCCAGCTGCGCAAAGGCCGGGCTTAGGCTCGGCTTAGGCCGGGTTTGGCTCGCCTTTGGCTCGGTTTGGCCGGGTTTGGCTCAGCTGAGGCCGGGTTTAAGCTCGCCTTTGGCTCGGTTTAGGCCGGGTTTAGGCTCGGTTTAGGCCGGGTTTGGCTCGCCTTTGGCTCGGTTTGGCCGGGTTTGGCTCAGCTGAGGCCGGGTTTAAGCTCGCCTTTGGCTCGGCTTAGGCCGGGTTTGGCTCGGCTTAGGCCGGGTTTAAGCTCGGTTTAGGCCGGGTTTGGCTCGGTTTAGGCCGGGTTTGGCTCGGCCTTTGCCGGCCCCGCGCTCCCCTGGCTCAGCGCTGGAGGTGCCGCCCTGCAGCCGCTCCTGCCGCAGGGAATTTGGGGCCGGATCGGCTGGAAAGTCCCATAAAGCAGAGCTGCCCTGCGAGCTGGGATCGTGCTCCAGCCGCGGGGGTGTCACCGAAACCACCGGGACACTTCAGTGGGAACTGCAGTGACATTGCAGTGGGAACTGCGGTGAAATGGCAGTGGGAACAGCAGTGAAATGGCAGTGGGAACAGCAGTGGCATTGCAGTGGGAACTGCAGTGAAATGGCAGTGGGAACTGCAGTGAAATGTCAGTGAGAACTGCAGTGAAATGTCAGTGAGAACTGCAGTGAAATGGCAGTGAGAACTGCAGTGAAATGTCAGTGGGAACTGCAGTGAAATGGCAGTGGGAACTGCAGTGAAATGGCAGTGAGAACTGCAGTGAAATGGCAGTGAGAACTGCAGTGAAATGTCAGTGGGAACTGCAGTGACATTGCAGTGGGAACAGCAGTGAAATGGCAGTGGGAAGAGCAGTGAAATGTCAGTGGGAACTGCAGTGACACATCAATAGGAACAGCAGCATTTGGGTGTTCATTGACACAGAAGTGGCTCTGAATTATTCACCTCCCGCCCACAATCTGCTTTTGTGCTCTATGATTAATGACAGGGCTGAGCTTTTCCTACAACCCCAGCCTGCTCTGGGACCTTCCAGGGACACCTTGCACTGTCCCAGGGTGCTCCCAGCCTGTCCTGAGCAATCCCTGTGGTTTTATTCCAGTAGTCCATGTGCATGTTTAACTCTGGGAGGGAAGAGCTGCAGTAAGCTCCTCTGTAATTACAGATTTACAGTGATTCAAAGTGTGGTGGAATACCAGCATCAGTGCCAGAGGAAATGCTGTTAATTGATGGTTCTGGGAAAAAGGAACAGAATTTCTTCCAGATGTGCTGCAGGACTCCACTTTTCCTCCTGGAACTGTCCTTCAGCTGGATTGTTTTGTAGGGACACTGCAGAACAAACTCATGTGCCCAAAGGAAAATGGCTTCAGGAACAAACAAATATTTTAAAGTTATTAAAAAAAAAAACCACCAGTAATTTTCTCATTGCCTTCGTCACAGAACATAATTTGGTTTCCTCTCTAAAAGAATTGATTATTTTATCCATGTTCTTGGACCCAAGATGAGCTGATAATCCTGATAGATCTCCCTCTGCTTCTTTTGATAAGAGCATTTATAATTACATGTTAATTTAATGGGATTTCTTGTTTCAGAAAATTAACATTTCTTGCATCGAGTTGTCCGTAAGTTTGTGTTGTAGAATGAGTGCAAATATTGATATTTAAAGAGGAAATTGGGGATTTGTCATAACCTTTTTATCCCTGCCCTGGTTAATAGTGGAGCTTTTTTTAACCTTGGTTGAATGCAGGGAACACTTTGTTTAGAGTTACTTAATTGCTTCATTTTGCTAAGTCTTTATTTTTTATCTCTCTTAATGTTTTCAAGTACTCTGGTTTTTTAAGGTCAAATCAAAGTGCTTAGGGAGCAGTTCACTTGCAAAATCTGAATTGTTCTGTGAATGAATTTTAAAAAAAATCAAAAAACCAAAACAATTCCAAAACTCCTAGTGCAAATGAATTTAAAATATGTTCTTCCTGAAGATAAAAATGAATATATTGCAGCTGGATGTCGGTAAGGAAGGAGCAGGCTCTGGTGGGATGAGGTTGAAATGATCCTGTGATGATTTGAGGCCCATCCCTGTGGCCAGGTGTGTCCTGCTGTGGGCACAGACTTAAACTGAGGACTTGGAGGAAAAAAGGAAAGTTATTCTGTTGTTTTGGGTTTTTTTAGCCAAAATTTTCTAGAGTTTCACTGGAAAATCAAGTGTGTGGAAGCATCCAGGGTGTGTGATCAGGTCACAGGAGCTGCTCCAGCAGGGATCTTGTGCTGCCCATGGAGCTGCTACAATTTACAATGAATTTCCATTATTTAGGGATAAAAGACATGAAGTGGCTGCTGTGGGATGGGTGTCTTGATTTCTCTATTTTTCTGAGTAAATTAATATCAGTACATTGTGTGTTTAATTCCTTATTCCCATTCTCTGGTGGGTTTGACCTCTGCAAAGATGGAGAATGGAATTGAAAATTCCAATATCTTGTCACTGCTGTCATCCCAGATGTGTAAGCCCATGGCAGCTGGTACCCAGTGTGATGGGATTTCTGCTCACACCTTTAAATGCTGTGTAGAACCAATCCCAAACATCCCAGCAAACCTGGAATAAGAAGTTGGAGCAAGTGAAAGCAGAAAAATAACATTGCAGTGTGACAGGTTTTGTACTGCATGGCCTGAGCACTGCTGCCTGGGCTCGGAGTGTTCCCTGGGAAAGGAAAGCTCCTGGTATGCTTTAAAGGGTTTTTTTTTAATCTCGGGTGGTGCCTCAGGTTTGACTTTTCTATTTTCCACATTCTGTGCTGCTTTAGTGTGTGGGGCTGGGTTCACATCAGGGGATGCTGAGCTCTGTGCACAGAGCAGGGAGACAAAACAATTCCTGCTCCAGCTGGGCACCAAGGACAAATGATCCCAATCTCAGCCCAGGAGCACAAAGCCCGTGGGCTGCAGAGAGAAAAACAAGCAGGGTGGGAGTGCAGGGGCTGCAGTGGGGTTGGACACTGAACTGCAATGTGCACATGGAGCAGAGCTGAGCCCAGGGAGAGACCCCGGCAGCGCTCGTGCATTTTGGGGCCATTTGGGTTCATCCTGGGGGCAGCCCTGGCTGGGCTCTGGTGCTGCCCAAGGGGCATCCATGGAGGAGATCCTTTGAGTAAATCCCTGCTTTACTCTGTAGCTCTGTTTAGTTTTTTTTCCAGGGTAGCCCTCTCAAGGCATCACAGGCAGGTGGTGGGGATTTATGTGTTTTTGTGGAATCCCCATCCCTGGAGTGTCCAGGGAATTCCTGGAGCTGGCACTCGGGGCTCTGGGGACCAGGTGGGTGTCGTGTCCCTGGATGGTCATTCCCAGGCTCAGGGATGCAGTGTTTGCTGGCAGCTGTCCCCAGGAGTGCTGTGTGTCCCCAGGTCCCTGGTGGTGGTGCACTTCTGGGCGCCGTGGGCTCCGCAGTGCGCGCAGATGAACGAGGTGATGGCAGCGCTGGCCCGCGAGCACAGCCAGGTCACCTTCGTGCAGGTGAGCAGGGGCAGCCCTGGGGAGGGGGTGTTCCAACTGGGGGAGGTTCCTCACGTTCAAATGCCCCTCTCACATCTGGTATCCCTGAGGTGCTGCTGTCAGGGGTGGCTCAGACAGGGAATCCTGGAATGCCTTCGTGGGAAGGGACCTCAAAGCCCATCCAGTGCCACCCCTGCCATGGGAGGGACACCTTGCACTGTCCCAGGGTGTCCAGCCTTGGGGATGTTATCTCACGACTCCCAGAGCAATGACTGAAATGACCCTTCAGGAAGGTGAATTTGTCTCCTGCAAGGTTGTCACTCTCCTTTGTGAGACCCTCTGCACATCCCACTGGGAGCCAGGGGAAGGAATTCACTTCATCCATGTGCTGTTGGTTTTAAACCAAATTTCTCTGGTTAATGAGACACTTGTGGGATGATGAGGGCAGGGAGCAGTGGAGCAGCCAGCTGTGTGTGAGTATTTTAATGGGATTTTTACAGCCTTTAGGATCTGTGTGTGGGTTTTTTTAATGATTCCTCTCAGTTGGTATTTGTAAAACAGGACAGAATTATTTTAATGGTATTTTATGACTTAGAGCTTCAAAAGACTAATTTTCAACGTATTGCAAATTCAAGATGCTTAAATTTATCTAGAGTTGAGTAGCTTTTACTCAGCCCAAGAAAGTCTGGAACCTCTCAGTTGCCTTTTCATTATTCCTATATTATTTATTTATGACCTTTATTATTCAGCAGTAATTTATTTTTTAATAATGAGGTTCCAAAGTTATCCAGGGCTGTGAAAACCTGATAGTGGCACTCCTTCCTCCAACTTCCCTCTTCCCAGTAATGTTAATATTACTGGTGTTCTTGCTTGGAGAAAATAAGCTGATGACAATTCTTGGGTGAATTTTACTGATACATTTTGGAGGGAGGAGCTCCTCCAGAGGAATATGTTTGATTTTGGCAGTTCTTGGCGGGATTTTTGTACTGCAGAATATGCAGCCTGCCTTTGAATTGGCAAGCACGTGTGACCTCCCTGCATGTTTGGTTGAAATGAATGTGTTCACATCCCAGAACACTCACAAACAACATTTTGGGAAGCTGTGCCAATGAGAGCAGGTTCCTGAAATATGAATTGGAATCTGTTCTGTGTTATGTGGAACATAAATTTCCAAGCAGGAAACTTTGCTGGGAAAGAAAATGAGTATTAGACGTGGAAGTAATCATTTGTCCCTGGAAAAAGAACCAATAATTGGAATTATCTATTCTCTTTCAATTATGTATAAGCTTTCAGTTCAGTGTCAGTTGGATGTAAGCTTTCATTTTCTAGCTGTGGTTTTCCAGTTGATTCTGTTGGAGTGGTGATGTGCAGGAGGAGGCTGGGGCTCACTTTTGATGCTCCTGCTTTGCCTCTCTAATTAGTGGGTTCATTAAGAGGCTGTGTAGCTGGAGCTGCTCAAAATGTGAGCCAGCAAAGATAAATTTTCATAGCCAATCCCTCTGTGATGAAAGTGGGAGCAGTAATCCCAGGCTGGGCGCTCAGCAGCCTTGCAGGAGTTAAAAATCAAGTTAAAAATCAAGTTTATGAAGGAGCAGCTCCTTTTCCCCTCCTCGTTTGCAGGGGCTGCAGATGTCAGGGGTGATGCAGAGCCCCCAAAGGGGCACCACAGCCCCTCTGTGATGGGGACACAACTGGGGCCAGTGATTTATGGGTTCCAATATAGCAGGAGCTGCACAGCATTGAGAATTTACTAGGTCAGGAGTGCACCAGGAATTTTATTCGCAGCCTCCGGGCGTCTTTTGAAATGTGCAACAAAATAAAAACCTCTGAACCTGCTTTGACACCGTGGAGGTTCACGGTGCCACGGCGGCCCAGAGAGTCTCATTTAAATGCAAATGTCTCCCAGACTTCAGCAGCAGATCCTGCTTAAATGTATAAAATGCCACGGAGAACATTCCAGGATTGACACTCGCAGTGAAACTTTAAAGAAGATTATGAAAATAATCCAGTTTTTTTTTTTTGGTTGGTTTTTAGCTGGAAGCTGAGGCTGTGCCTGAAGTGTCTGAAAAATATGGAATTAGTTCTGTTCCAACGTTCTTGTTCTTTAAGGTAAGAGGAAATGGATTTAAGAGGAAATGAATTTAAGAAAAGTGGATTTAAGAGAAAATAGAATCCATGTGGACTCTTAATACTTACACTTTTGTAACACTCCACCAGAACCTTAGGAGCATTCTCAGTGAGGAGACCCCTCTGTAACTGATTGAAGTCTATCCAGTGGAACCTAAAAATGGAAATAGAAATGTTTTTTGCACTTTATGTGGAATAGTTCAGGGCTTCCTTAAGTGCTTCGGCATTCATACATAGTTTTTATTTCACTTGTTGTACTTGGGTCAAAAAATTTACAGCAACATTTCTTTGTAGTTGGGAAAAAACCTAAGAAATTATGATAATAACAGAAATAACAATTCTGTTCGGGTGCTATTTGCCTGTGATGATAAAATTGATACTATTTTCTTAAATAAGTATTTCTGGAGGCAGACTTGGTGCTGTCACTGATGCCTTGGAGTGGCTGCCTGGAACAGAGGCTAGACAAGGTTAAGAGGATAAAATGGGTATTTATTAAAGGCTTTCCATAAGTGCACCTCGGGCAGGCAGAGCCTCCCAGGGGCTACACTCAAGATGGACCATGGTCACAGGTTTTTTAGGCAGATATGACTTTGGTCTATTTACATATCAGGGGTTGATCCTCCAGTTGAGCTTCAGGTGATGAAGTTATTTACCCCCCATTTTCTCCTCCCAATTCACTTTTGTCTGTACTTTTCAGGCCCTGAGGCTGTAGGGTGTCCTTGAGTTTCAGGCCTGGAGGAATTGTTTAGTCTGACCAAAACGTGAGGACTGTAGCTAACACTCTGTGTGGAGTTCAGAGTTAGGCACTGGGGCAGCACAGGATCTGAAAAACAGAAAGGCTGAAATCCCTCAGGCATCATTGGTGCCAGAAAGGCACGAGCCTGGCAGTACAGCCCTTTCTGAGGCATGTCACAGGAGGCAGCCTTGGCTGGCTGTGTGTGCTGTGCTTTAGCCCAGCCTGGACTGAAAGCCGTGGTTTCAGCCCAGGCTGGACTGAAGGCTGGCTTTGCTGTGCTTTATCCCCCCCTGCCCTGTGTGCTGTGTTTATCCTCTAGCTCTGTGTGCTGTGTTGCCCTGTGTGCTGTGTTTATCCCCCTGCTCTGTGTGTTGTGTTTATCCGCCCTGCTCTGAAGGCTGTATTTGCTCTGTGTGTCCCCCTTTCCTGCAGGTGTATTTGCTGTGTGTATCCCCCTCTCCTGAAGGCTGTGTGTATCCCCCTGTCCCATGTGCTGTATCCCCTTCTCCTGCAGGTGTATTTGCTGTGTGTATCCCCTCTCCTGAAGGTGTATTTGCTGTATCCCCTTTCCCAAAGTCTGTATTTGCTGGTGTATCCCCCTTTCCCAAGGCTGTATTTGCTGTGTGTATCCCCCTTTCCCGCAGGCTTATTTGCTGTGTGTATCCCCCTTTCCCGCAGGCTGTATTTGCTGTGTGTATCCCCTCTCCTGAAGGTGTATTTGCTGTGTGTATCCCCCTTTCCAAAGGCTGTATTTGCTGTGTGTATCCCCCTTTCCCGCAGGCTGTATTGGCTGTGTGTATCCCCCTTTCCCGCAGGCTGTATTTGCTGTGTGTATCCCCCTTTCCCACAGGCTGTATTTGCTGTATCCCCCTTTCCTGCAGGCTGTATTTGCTGTATCCCCCTTTCCAAAGGCTGTATTTGCTGTGTGTATCCCCCTCTCCTGCAGGTGTATTTGCTGTGTGTATCCCCTCTCCTGAAGGTGTATTTGCTGGTGTATCCCCTCTCCTGAAGGTGTATTTGCTGGTGTATCCCCTCTCCTGAAGGTGTATTTGCTGGTGTATCCCCTCTCCTGATGTCCCCAGAACTCGCAGAAGGTGGACCGCCTGGACGGCGCGCACGCTCCGGAGCTGACGCAGAAGGTGCAGCGGCACGCGGCGGGCACGGCGGGCACGGGCGGCCCCGGCGGCGCTGCCCCTGCCCAGGAGCAGCTGCACGCCCGCCTCAGGGGGCTCATCAACGCGGCCCCCTGCATGCTGTTCATGAAGGGCTCTCCCAAGGAGCCCCGCTGCGGTGGGTGAGCCTCGGGCCCCTCCCTGCCCGGCGGCCCGCGGTGCCAGGCTGCTGCTGACGTCCCTGGGGTTCCTTCCTAGGCTTCAGCAGGCAGATGGTGGAGATCCTGCAGAAGCACGGCGTGGCCTTCAGCAGCTTCGACGTCTTCTCTGACGAGGAGGTTCGCCAGGGCCTCAAAGCCTTCTCCAACTGGCCCACCTACCCGCAGCTCTACGTGGCTGGGGAGCTCATCGGGGGCCTGGACATCGTCAAGGTGGCACACGGCAGTTTGTCTGCTCTTGGCCTGACACAAGTGTCCTTGTCTTGCTTTTTCCACCTCATTTTTTGCTTTTTTCCCCCCAATTTCCTCAGGAGCTCGAGGCATCAGGAGAGCTGGACACGATCTGCCCAAAGGGCCAGAAGCTAGAGGACAGGTAGGGGCATTATAACAATTTCTGAGGTTTTTTTCTGTGTTCATCCAGGGGAAACCCTCTATAAATTCCTATTTTATCAGAAGTGCCTCAAGAATTTATTTACTTGCAGAACTCTTGTAGTTTTTCAGTGTCTTTTGGGGTTTGTACATGTAAGTCCAAGAATCTTACTTATGTTTGTGGTTTAATTTCTGCTTGTTGCAAGAATGTAGCTGTTTATATATTTATATAGCTATATATATATATATCTATTTATGCATTTATATATCTATATCTATTTATGTCTATATGTATCTATATAAATATGCCTTTCTAAATATCTATATTTATAAATTTCTGTATTTCTATTTATACATCTCTATATATCTACTTATGTATTTATATATCTATATATCTACTTATATATGTATATATCTGTATCTGTAGGTGGATATAGATTCCTTCTTGTCTCTCTTTAGCAATTTATTCTTTAAAAATAACTGGGAAAATCATATTTTTAAGCTTTTTCCAGCTTTATTTGCACAGACTTCCCAACTCTGGTGTCACTGAAGGGAATCCCTGCCTGGTTCTTCTCCCTGCTCAGTGCAGCACAGAAATAATTTAATAAATCCCATGTAAAAGTGGTGCTAAATAATAATCCCACCATTGTAATTCTAGGGATTTATTCATTCCTTCCAAATTTGTGCCAAGGCTTGAGTTACTTTACTTTGAAATAGTTTCACTGAGGCCACACACCCCAATTAATGCTTTTAGCAGAGATTAAATTGGAGATTAAGATGAGATGGGCACATCTTTAAAAACTTTTTTTTGAGGCGTTTAAAAGCTTATTTTTTAAAGCCTTTCTGTGTTTTTTGAGGAGTTTAAGAAATGAAACATTTTTTGGCCAGTTCTTGATGGAAGTTTGCAGATTGCACAAGCAGTAACTCCATTTACACAGAATTTTTTTACTTGGCACAAACTTTTGAGGGAAAGAAGGGAATGGGGAATGTCCTCTGCCTCCCAAAGGGTTTTAAGGTTCCCTTAAAGCTTTTTTTTTTTAGGTTAAAATTGTCCATGAGATGTGTTTGTAAGGAGCAGCAGCACCTTTGGGGAGGTTTGAGTGGCATTTTCCACCAGCCTGCTCCGTGGGAAATGGATTCCTGCTGGCAGTGGCATTCCCATCCCAGGGTGGAATTCCTGGAGATTTCTCCATTGGATTTTTCCTTTCCACTTCTGCATTTTGTTTGGTGTATTGGGGTATAAAATAACCAAGGTATTTTTTGTCTTTTTCTAGGCTTAAATCCTTGATAAACAAAGCTCCTGTGATGCTGTTCATGAAGGGAAACAAACAGGTAATGTGGAGTGTTCAGGAAAATACTGAATTTTTCTCTTGTTCTTCCTTAATTCAAATCAGTGCAGCTGGGAAAGTTATTTATCTTTTTATTTGGCCTTCTCTAAACCATAGAACAGCCCTGGTTTTTGTTATTGCTGAATATTATTTAAGTGTTAGATATTTCTATTAATATTTATTAGTACAGAAATTAATAGAAATATCTAATGCTTAGGTATTATAACAGATATATCTAATATCTTAGATATCTTATAGAATAGATACCTATAATACCTAGTCATATCTAAAAATTGCTGGGTGTTTTTTGTCTTCATGTGAAGAGTTTGCAGTGGATATGAATTATTAATTCATTATAATTTCAATTATAATTAATGTAATTATACTTAAATTAATTACAATTAAATTAATTCTAATGATAATAAATATAACAAGTTGCTGTTCTTATTATAGTTTATTCTGGTGAATCCAGGGCAGTGATGCCTCAAAATGCAGCAGGTTTAATCCATAAATCCATAAAAATCAGGAGATAAAGGATGGAAAAGGGATTAAGGAGTGGCTCATCCAGCAGAAAACTGGGAATTGCTGCAGTGCAGCTGGAATTCTATGAACTAAAAAAAGCAGAGGCATTTCATAACTGTATTTTATATTTTAGATGGCAAAATGTGGCTTCAGCAAGCAAATCATAGAAATCATGAATAACACTGGGTAGGTAACGGGGTCGGAGTTTGGGGGGCAGTTCTGGGGTAAAAACTGCATTTTATGGAAAATGTGTTAGAAAATAAGAGTGGAGTTATTCCCCAAATGTAAGGTTTTATTTTTCAAGAGCATTTCAAGCACTTGAAGGGTTTTCTGAGAATTTTAATGAGGATTTTTGAGAATTTTGAGGGTTCTTTCAAGACCTGTATGGATTTTTTTGAGAATTTTGAGGATTTTTTGAGAACTTTGAGGGTTTTTTCGAGCATTTTATGGGTTTTTAAAAAATCTAGAGGTTTTAGAGCTTTGAGGTTTTGGGGTATTTTTTAATCTTGAGGGGTTTTTGAGAACATTGCGTTTTCTATAATTTTGAGGATTTCTGAGAACATTGAGGAGTTTTCGATAATTTTTATGGGGTTTTGAGAACATTGAGGAGTTTTTGATAATTTTGAGGATTTCTTGAGAACTTTGAGAATTTTTTCCAACATTTTATGAGTTTTTAAAAAATCTTCACATTCTAGAAATTTTCAGGGCTATTTTTTGCTATTTTTGTGAGAATTTTAAGGCATTTCTTTGCAAACCTTGCAGGGTTTTGTTGCTTTAGGAGCACTCCTTCCCATTTCCAGTGTGAATAACATGCATATCCCATTTTCCCCCCTGCCCAGCGTGGATTACGAGACCTTTGACATCCTGGAGGACGAGGAGGTACCAGAGCCTGCCCTTCCCTGGGGGTGCAGCCCTGCTGCCCGCGGCAGGGCAGAGCTCCCGGTTCATTCCCTGTGTCCCCCAGGTGCGCCAGGGGCTGAAATCCTTCTCCAACTGGCCCACGTACCCCCAGCTGTACGTCAGAGGGGAGCTGGTGGGGGGGCTGGACATTGTCAAGGTACGAGCTGCTTGCTTTGCAGTAAAAACTCCATTTGTTGCATTTAAAAGTCTCATTTCTAGGAATTTCCCTGCCTGTCCCCCACAGAATCCCTGCAGCCACCCCAGGAGGCTTTCCCAGGGAAAGGAGCTTTAAGTGTCCAATGAATGACTGGAAAAAGCTCGTTTTAAACCCTTTTTTTGCATTTTTCTCGGCCTTAATTTTGCTCCTGATGTTGTTTTTTTTTCTCCCAGAAAACATTTCTATTTTCTTGGAGTTGTTGGAGCAGCCCCAGAGTTCCCAAATCCTCCTGAGCCCATTCCTGGATGGTTCAGAGCCAATTCCTCAGACTGGGGCTCCCGGGGATGCTCAATCAATAAATCCCATTTAATTCTAAAATTACTGGGACTACTGAAATTGTAGAGATTTGTTTGATTTATTTAAGAAGTGTGAGGATTGCCTCAATTACATAGATTAATTTTATTTACAAAGATTAATTTTACTTCAATTACATCGATTAATTTTATTTATATAGATTAATGTTACTTAGTGTATATGGATTAATTCTATTTACAAAGATTCATTTTACTTCAATTATATAGCTTTATTTTATTTATATAAATTAACTTTACTTCAATTATATAGATTACTTTTACTTAAAGTGTATAAATTTTATTTAACAAGAGTAGGGATTGCTTCAATTCTTGTATAAATTTATTATGGAAATTATTATTAAAATTATTATATAAATAATAATTTTATTTATAGATACTATTTTTACCTAAATTGTGTAGATTAATTTTATTTATGTAGATTAACTTTACTTAAATTATATGGATTAATTCTATTGATATAGATTAATTTTACCTAAAGTATATAATTAATTTTGTTTATTTAACAAGTGTAGGGATTACTTTGATTATATAGATTAATTTTTCTTATATAATATAGATTAACTTAATTTATAGATTAATTTTGTTTATTTAGCAAGTGTGGGATTAAATCAATAAAATTAATCTAGATAATTGAGGAAGTGTGGGGGCTTTTTCAGTGCTCAGGAGGAGGAGTCTTGGGCATTGTGAGGTGCTGTAAAATCCTTTTTTCTGCTATTTCAATGTAATTTCTCTCTTTGCATCCTTGGGCTGTTTGAATTCATGACCTGTATGGGTGGGTGAATGCTGTCAGTGGTTTAAATTTCATTTTTTAATGCAGCATGGTATGGAATTATTGAAATAGAGATGATGATTCCAAGGTGTGGGAGAAGAAGAACATTCCACCTTGTTCCCGTTGTTCCCCAAGTGTGTCCTTAGGCAGTTGCCAGCCCTGAAATGTGAATTTCAGTCCCCAGGAGGAGCAGGGCAGGCACCTCCTGCTCAGAATCCCGAGGATATTTCAGTTTCTTCATGGGGTTTGTGGGTGGGAGAACAAAACCCATCCGTGGGTGGTGATTCCTCCTTGGGGGTGTTGGAATTGTGTGCCTGGAACGTCTGGGATTCCACCTGGGAGGAGATCAGGGGCCCCAAGCAGAGCCTCCAGGGTGTGATTTTTTATCTTTTTCACTAAATACACCCAAGCCAGAGTTTAAACACTTTATAACCCTCAAGAGTGGCCCAGGAGGGATCTGTGGTGAGGCACCTGCTGCCAGGAGTGCTTCCTGCTGGGATGCCCCTGGACCATCCCTGCACATCCATCCCTGCTGCCTTTCTGTCTTCCAGGAGCTGAAGGAAACGGGGGAGCTGCTGCCTGTGCTGAAGGGGGAGAATTGATGGGGAGGACATCAGTGGGAAGAGAAATCCCTGGAACAGCCTGGAGCAGTCAGAGATTCTCCTGGAGAAACAACTGCAGCAGGGGAAGCAGACAGGAAATAAATAGAAATATTCTCTGTTGGAAAAGGGGTTTCACTGGGGCCACAAAAAGGTCAATTAAAATTCAGTGCTCCAGCATTTGTGGTGTTGGGGTTTCATTATTTGCACCCTTGTCCATCCCAGAACTATTTGAGGTGAAATTGGAACTTGCTTTTTTTGGGCTCAGCTCTCATTAGGGGAATATTAATGGAGCATCATCTTTTCCTGCCCCCTTTAATTGTTTGCATGTCTAATGAACAAGAAAAACACCTTGGGAGCCTTCAGCCAGCCCAGCTTCAGGGAGTTATTAATGAGCTGCAGCTCTGTCCTCTGCAAACTCGTTAAGTGGGCGCACTGATTGCTAATTTGGGGTGCTCAGTCACAAACGTGGGGTTTTGGGAGGGTTTCAGTGGTTTTGGAAGTGCTGGTGAATGCTCAGGGATCCTTCAGGATCCTGGGCTGCTCCAGGGGTCCTTCACTGCTGCACCCAGGGGATTTCCAGGTTTCAGTGGTTTTGGAAGTGCTGGTGTGAATCCTCAGGGATCCTTCAGGATCCTGGGCTGCTCCAGGGGTCCTTCACTGCTGCACCCAGGGGATTTCCTTTGGGCTCAGCACCCGAGTCTGGGGAAGGTCCAAGTCCCCAGATCCTGGCAGGAATCTCCTTGGGAGCAACTCTGGGGCTTTTTTCCCTAAATCCTAAATATGATGCAAGTCTCAGAACCTAAACCAAATCTGGTGTTAAGCTTATCCCAACGTGGAGAAGCTTGGCTGCAGGGAAGCAGGTCCTTCCATGTGTTAGAGGATTCCCAGGGATGGATATTTAATTTTCTAGGATTAGTTTTAGTAATTGCTATCAAATATGTGTTATAACTTTAAACCCGATTTTAATTGCTTTAAAAAAAATCCTTGTCATGAAAACAAGCCTTAATTAATCCTCTTAAGTGAATTGCAAATGTGTTCAGGTAGTTGTCGGTAGGAAGAAAATAATTTATTACAGCAAAACGTAGCACCCCTGTGGTGAAATAAGGAGTTAGAAGCTTTAATTAAATACTAAATACCAAATGCTATTTAGTTTTCCTTCGGAATTCAGCGTAGTGGAATTTATTTGGGGCTTATAGAGTCCTGTTAATGGATTTATAGACGTGCAACAGAGCAGCAGGAAATAGCAGTTGATTCCTGACAATTTGTGTTTATTCCAGTATGGGATATTGGGAAGGAATGGTTCCCTGGCACAGGGTGCCCAGAGCAGCTGTGGGTGCAGTTAGATCCTCCTTGTTTGTGTTTCCCTCCTTATTTTGCAATATTTCCCTTGTTTGTCCTAACATTTCAGCTGGATTATTTTTCCCTGCAATTTAATGTTGGGATATTAGGAAAAAAACCCCAACAAACCAGCTATTCTTGAGAATGGTGAAGAGAGGAACAGCAGGTGATTAAATCCTCTATGCTACTAAATATATTAAATAACTTCTTCTGGCAGATAATTGTCACCTCTGTCACCTCCTCGGTGCTGGGATAAGAAATTCCTTCAACCTCCATGAAATATTCCAGGTTTGAAGGGGAAGGGTCACCTGGCTGAGATCAGGGATCCAATCAATACCTGGGATTGAAATTAAAAATTAACCTGGCTGCATGTGAACATTGATAGAGGGTTTCTGCTAATTGGGATTACTTCATGATTTTAATTAGGGACTGATTTTATGGGGAAATTAGGGTTAGTTAAAGATTATAATTAGGGGGGCATTTCTTGGGGAGTAATTGGGATTTCATTTCATGGGGCTGAGACCAAAGGGGAGCAAACAGGGATTTGTTTTTCCTTCAAACTGTAGTCCAGGGATGAGGTTCAGGTGAGACTTGGGGGATTTGAAGGACACTCAGAGGACATGGGGAAAAGGAACTGGTTTTGGGTTAAAGGAGCTGGTTGGGGGTTAAAGGGGCTGGTTTTGGGTTAAAGGAGATGGTTGGGGGTTAAAGGGGCTGGTTTGGGGTTAAAGGGGCTGGTTTGGGATTAAAGGAGATGTGTTGGGGGTAGAGGAGCGGTTTTGGGTTAAAGGAGCTGGCTTGGGGTTAAAGGAGCTGGCTTGGGGTTAAAGGAGCTGGCTTGGGGTTAAAGGAGCTGGCTTGGGGTTAAAGGAGCTGGCTTGGGGTTAAAGGAGCTGGCTTGGGGTTAAAGGAGCTGGCTTGGGGTTAAAGGAGCTGGCTTGGGGTTAAAGGAGCTGGCTTGGGGTTAAAGGAGCTGGCTTGGGGTTAAAGGAGCTGGCTTGGGGTTAAAGGAGCTGGCTTGGGGTTAAAGGAGCTGGCTTGGGGTTAAAGGAGCTGGCTTGGGGTTAAAGGAGCTGGCTTGGGGTTAAAGGAGCTGGCTTGGGGTTAAAGGAGCTGGCTTGGGGTTAAAGGAGCTGGTTTGGGGTTAAAGGAGATGTGTTGGTGTTAATGGAGCTGGTTTGGGGTTAAAGGAGATGTGTTGGGGTTAAAGGAGATGGTTTTGGGGTTAGAGGAGCTGGTTTGGGGGTTAGAGGAGATGTGTTGGGGTTAGAGGAGCTGGTTTGGGGTTAGAGGAGCTGTTTTGGGTTAAAGGTTTCGGCCCATGCTGTGACTGCCCTCACCCCAGCCGTGTCGCAGGGCTGTGCCTGGTGTCACTCGGGCAGGTCCCTGTCCCCATTCCCTCCTGTCGGTGTTCGGGAGCACAATCCCCCCCGAGCCGGGGAAACTCCTGCACGTGAGCTAAAATCTTCAGGAGCGGGGGGAGGGAGATGGCAGCAATTCCCAGCGGGCACGGCAGGGAGCTGGGCTCGGGCATCCCGGGGAGCGGGGCAGGGGACCGGGGGGAACCCATTCCCGGGGATTTTCCTGCCGGGGACCGGGGGGAACCATTCCCGGGGATTTTCCTGCCGGGGGACTGGGGGGGAACCATTCCCGGGGATTTTCCTGCCGGGGGACTGGGGGGGAACCATTCCCGGGGATTTTCCTGCCGGGGGACTGGGGGGGAACCATTCCCGGGGATTTTCCTGCCGGGGGACTGGGGGGGAACCATTCCCGGGGATTTTCCTGCCGGGGGATTGGGGGGAAACCATTCTCGGGGATTTTCCTGCCGGCGGCAGCACCGGGCATGGCCACGGGGCGGTGCTGGGCACTGCGGAGTGCGGGGGAGCGGGAGAGAGGGATAACGGGATAGTGGGATAGAGGGATAACGGGATGGATAGAGGGATAACGGGATAGATAGAGGGATAACGGGATAGTGGGATAGAGGGATAACGGGATAGAGAGATAGTGGGATAGCGGGAAAATGGGATAGAGAGATGGAGAGCGGGATAGACGGATGGCAGGATAGAGGGATAGTGGGATCGTGGGATAGAGGGATAATGGGATAGAGTGTTAGCAGGACAGTGGGATAACGGGACAGAGGGATAGAGGAGCTGGGGATGCTGCCGCAGCTTAATGGGATAATGGGACTGGGAATGCTGCCCTGGAATAACAGGCCTGGGAATGCTGCCCCAGGATAACGGGATAGTGGGATAATGGCAGTGGAATTCATGGATCAGCTGTGAGCCATCAGAGAATCCC